GGGGCTCCACCTTGTAGTACTGGCCATGCTCCACTGCGGGCACCAGACATGGAGCGGATAGGCACTTGGGCGTCTCCGGCTTCCAAATGCCCCGGATGCAGCGTGCCGTCGCATTTTCACCCTTAATGTTCAGCTTGAAGCCGGCATTGCACTCCAGATGCAGCATAATGCCCACGGCATTTCTGCCCGGAACCTTGCCAGGACGAACCGTGGTCACGTTGGCAAAGGAATCCCATTCGAGATCCTCGCATGGCCCTCGCAATCGTTTGCCTCCACCTCCCTTTCCGGCCTCTCCTCCATCGCTGATATCCACCTCACCATCCGGAATAGTTGCTCCCGACGGAGGAGGCGACTGCCCAATGCTGGAGCTTCTCCTGCGCCTCCGGCGGACTATCTGGGATTTCAGTTGATCAATGTAGGACCTTGTGGCATTCAAGTGAAGGCTACGCGATGCTTTCGGCGGGGAGCCGTTGGATAGCAGCTCGTCCTTTGGAGTTCTGTTTACGTGAACCATCTGGTTTCGCGATGCCTGGTTTATGTTGGGCAGGGCAACCACTCCAGATCCTACTACTCCTCCTGATCCCATGCCACCGCTCCCCAGGTAATTGTTGCCATTCTCAAATTCCCTGAAGTTGGACTTGCCCCGCATGGTGACCTGTGCTCCATCGTGGGTGTTAAGGTTGTTTCCCACTCTACCCACAGCATCCTGGGCATGGAGCCTCTGGTAGATCCGGTCATGGCCCAACATTTTCCGGACGTAGCGCTGATATCGCTCCTTGATCTTTTGATAGTACTTGGAGTAGGCCAGGTCGACGTCGGAGGCATAGGGTTGTGAGTTCGGAAGTGGACTGGCGTTTCGCTTCACCCGGTGAACCGAATGCTGGGCAGGATCGGCTACTATAAAAGGTATAAAAGGGGAGGATACTGCTACTATAATGCTTACAACTAAACTATATTATAAGTGCTCACTAGCTTTTATGTAGTTTTGGTTATCGACGAGTTGCCTTTGAAGTTGTCGCTGTCGCTGCAGAAGGTACATGGATCTCAACTGGCGGATCTGCAGAGAGCGACGTCTGCGGCGATTCCAACGCAGGCGAGGATGCTGGCCCAGGAGGCACTGCGGCAGGTCCAAGGGACGCCACTTGCCACCCACACAGGTGGCACCAGGCGGACCAACCTAATCGAGGAATGTTGTCGTTCGGTATCAGCAATACTAATAGGATATTTAAGTTACCTCCAGGACATATCCTTTGTCGCAATCGTACATGATCTGCTTGTTGTTCACGATCTTCTTGACATAGGGTCTGTAATCATATAGACCCATGTTGCCCACGAGCAGGACCTTTCCATTGGGTATATAGCCGGGAAAGGAGCAGAAGACCTCGTCACATTTGGGCGTCTCGCCGGTCCAGTTGCCAAATGAGCAGGTGAGCACATAGTCGTGCGGATCCGTCACATCCTTGCCCTCCGGGCTGACCAGTTTGAAGCCATCCTTGCACTTGAACCGCGCCTTCATGCCGTGCTCCGTCTTGGGAGCCATCACCATCCCGTGTTTGGGTGGACGCGGCATGCTCTTGCACCTGGCGGGCACACAGCGTGGAATGATGCTCCAGGTGCCATTGTTGCATGTGGGCGGACTGAGCAGGGATACCGGGAACTCGTAGTTCTCGTCGCACTTGACCTCCAGCGCCGTTCCGTGCTTAACCTTCTCCACTCCACCAATGCTCTGCGTTTGAGTGGGTGACTGCGTGGTGGTCGTCGGCGGATGGACGATCGTCGTTCCGTTCTCATCCGTGGTTATCTCTATGGGATACACATTGCCCTGCGAAATGGTGGGCACCACACAGGGCGCCAGACACTCGGGCAGGGCGTTCCGCCACCTTCCGTCGATCTGGCACACGCTGGAGCCCAGTCCATTGATCATCATCTCTGGTTGGCATCGAAAAATGATGCTGGCCCCCAGTCCGGTGCCCGCCTCGATGTTCTCGATCCACCCATTGTAGAGCACTCCAGGATGGCCGCAGTTGATCTCTATTAAATGAGGTAGGATAACGCAAGCCAACTTATCAAATTTCCGTACTCCAAAACTTAGATGAACAATAGAATCATCCAGTTGGGACTAGCCCACTTACCCTTGCAGGTGGGCAGAGTGCCGCTCCACTTTCGATCTGCTCCGCAGCGACTGGAACTCTCGCCCACAAGGGTGTATCCGTAGCGGCACTCGTAGCTGACCACCGAGTTGTAGGCCAGGGTGGTGTAGGTGGCCTTGCCGTTCTTGGGGTTCTCCGGGGTGGGACACACCACCGAGGTGACCACTGTGCGGGAGGCGGGAGAATGCGGTTAGCAATGGGATTGGGATGAGGGTACGCTAAAAGTTACCACAAATCTTTGAAAGCCGCCAAACCAAATAAAACAACTTCGTGGAAACGGTTTCGAATTCGAATTATTAATTCTTGTATATTTTCGTTTTTTGTTTGCTCAAGATTTGCGGTAACTTTTATTTATTCATTCAACATTAACTGGCCAACAACAACAACAACAAGGTAGTGCATAAAATTTGAACAATCTGTTAGTTTGTAACGCTAGATCAAAAACCAAATCGGAGATAGAGAGAGAATGTGTGTGGTTAACAGGATCGGAGAACTCCGACTGGAGAACCTGAGCCCTGACCAAAGTGCGCTTAATACATAGTTTCGGATACGGATATGGGGATCTGTGCCATTTGCCAGCTCCAAGGAGTCGGAAACGAAACTCAAAGGTCGCCTCGCCTATGACAACGACGCTTGGGTGGTGGTTACATTTGCGCTATCCGCTTTAAAGGTCAGAGGTCAAAGAGGTTCGGTTACAAGCTCTACCGGCGCCAGCTCGCAATACTCACAGACACAGGTGGGCAGCTCCTTGGGCGTCCACGATCCGTCCGACTGGCAGTAGCGCTCGTGCTTGCCCACCAGCTCGTATCCGGTTCCACAGTTGTAGGTGATCTTGCATCCGTACGTGTAGCACTCGCCTGCATGCCATCCGTAAGCCGGATCCGGAGGCTGGCCACAGGACCGAGCTGGAATCGAATCATCCAATGGTTATGCAAATAGGGATTTCCCTTAAGGTGTGTCTTCACTCACGTTCGCATTGGATATCCGGCCCGTACCAACTGGCCAGGTTATCAATGGCCAGGCACTTGGCCCTTGGGAATCCGTTGGTCACGTAGCCGGTGTGGCAATGGTACTGCACCGTGGAGTCCAGGTCAAAGGTTTCCTGTTCCGGCAGCGCCGAGTTTCGCGCATGCTCTATCTGCGGCGGCTTCAGGCAGTAAACTATAACGATTTCAAATACATTTGAAGTTAATCTGTTCATAAACTTGGTGGCGCCTATTTCACTTACTATTCTGCTTGCAAGCTGGCTCGGCTCCGGCCCAATTTCCATCCGCCTGGCAAAGACGGCTCTGGAGACCCACAACGTGGTAGCCGTGGGGACAGGCATAAGAGGCGCGAGCTCCAAAGTGACGTCCAGCCACTGTGACCTGACCCAAGCTGGGCTGGGCTAGCTCCGGGCACTCGCGATCTGTGCAAAGAGACTGGATGCCTTCAAAGGGAAAGCTGCCTAAAGAAACTTGACCCACCTGGCTTAATGCAGGAGTTGCCGCAGACGCCGTCACACAGGCACTTCTTCTTCTTGCTCTTGCAGTCCTCGTCGGAGGAGCACTTCCTCAAGCACTTCTGGCCGAGCAGCGTGGCCTGCTCCTCGTCGCGGGGACACTCGGAGGAGGGTGAGTTGCGTGGGTTCTTGTAGACGCGGCCATCGTCATCGGACTCCAGAGAGTCGTCGTCCTCCTCCCAGTCGTCGTCGTCGTCATCCTGCTGCGGAATCTCCGAGGTGGTCTGAATGCTGGTGCTCATCGTGCTGGTCGGAACCGAAATCACTGTAAGAAAACAAGGAGCACAGCTGTCAATCATCTGGGCTGGAAAACAAACCCCACTTGGGATTTGCCTGAGGCAAATCAACCCCTTAGCGAGGCTTCTGTTTTGGTTCCGGGATTCGCGTCTATTTTGCTCCGCCTCGCGTGCGGGCGAAAACATTGACCTATTTCCCCCGATGCCTGGTCCAGATGGTCCTGATGGCTCGGTCCCAGACTCTTTTGGAGCCTGCGCACTGGACGCCAGCTTATATAACCCAGCAGCATATACATTTTTCATCTTGCCAATATAGAGGACTCCCAAATATTGCAAATGGTTATTCTGCTTGCTGGTGGGCTCATCCGGACTACCACGCGATGGGGCTCAAATTACTGGTTGTACTTATCGGGATTTGGGGATTTCGGGCTTTCTTATTGACCTTTATAGACCAGAATGGTGGTCACAAGACACTGCAGCAGCAGGCGATTCATTTTGATTCCGTTTTAGTTGAGGGGTATCCGTGTTCTTTTTGATTATTCTCCTTTCGCCGAACTGGCCTCGGATTTATAGCATTGTGATGTCGCTATGTGATTTGCAAAATTCCTCTGCTGGCCAATTTTATTGGTAACTTTTCCGACCAGTTCGGTGGCCCGAAACTTCTCACTTCGAGCCAAGGAAACGAAATGCAGCCACGCCAGCTGCTTTCTCCCCTTTTCGGCTCTGGCCTTTTGACAGATCGGGCGAGAAGCACCCAAGCTGACAGCTTTCGACGGTGGTGGGTCCTTTTAACGGTGAAGATACGGGTTCTTGAGTCCCAGCACGCTTATTGGATCAAAACTTGCTAACAATCTCGATACCGTAAGATATGTCATGAGTTTCGACTGTTTGAAAGTTCATTTTGTTCGACGTCGAGGTATCGATACAATCGATACATTCTAAAGATCATTTAGCTAACACAATTATAACTATCGAAAATAGAAGAGGAAAATAAAAGGGGTTTCTTGATTAAATTATAAAATTCAGAAAAAGTAATTCAGAAAAGTAAAAAATATTCAATAAGTGCACCAATTCCATTCGAGTATTTACATTTTTCCACCACTTTGAGCCATAACAAATAAAATGTTTTATTTATATCCCATATCATTTGTAATATAAAAGATCAAAACTCTCTACTACTATAAATTAATTTAAAGTCAAATGAGCAATATGGCTTGGACTCTCCAGGTCGAGTTCCACCGTGCGACCTAACGGTAATTCAGCTTATCCCGTCTTTGAACGAACTGCAGCCCTCGTCGCGGAAAGCTCCGAGAGCGCGGAGGTCGGGAAAGCTCCGGAACTAGAGCTTTCCGCCGCACGCACTCGCTGGCGACCGATTTTCCAACGGAATCAGAAGCAGTGAAAATCCGGAGCGCCGAGCACCACGACGACGCACAGCGGCGGGACAAGGAAAAACTAGTCGAGGCGCGCACTGCCATCCGAAAATCCAAAAAATATAGTGGAGAGAGCGGGGAAAGCGGGGAAAACGCACTCGAAAGATACACTTTTCCGACGAAATGTCTTCGCGGCGTGTGTGCAAGAAACATTTTGATTAGGCAATTAATTGAGCAAAGTGCAAGTGCGGTGGGTGGAAATGTTTTAGACTCCGTTCGGTGGGGTGCGGCGGGTTTTCCGGGGGGCGCATGTGAAAAGCGCGTAAAGAAAAGTAAGTGGCGCAAATTTGTGTATTAAAATAAATCAAATAACCAACTAAACGATGCATACACACCGAATCGACTGGGTGCCAGTGCAAATCGCATCTGCGAACGGAGATGCGAGCGAATCTGTGACAAATTAATTGATATTGAACCACTTCGCAGTCCGCTGCGACAAAATGTCGAACTAACCGATTCAAAAACATATAGATTCTGTGTATATAGGGAATTTATTTTTAGCGATTTTTAAAGCCCCTCCCGCCCCGCAGGGGAATTCAAATCGGTCGCGAAAGACCAATGCTGTGTGTATTGTGAATCGAACGATCGCAAACATATTCTGAATCCAATAAAGTAGTTCCCAAACCAGGCATCCATCATCCATCATCCATCGGTGGTATCGAAAACGGGGGGCTCGCGCGTCAACAATTTTCAAGCGTGTACACAAAAATCCAGCCAAGCGCATTGCCCGCAATAAATCCGAGACGAGACCCAGACCCAGACCCAGCAGAACCCACCATATAGACCATTCACCACCCACCACCACCACCACCAGCACCACCCACTTGGGCCAGTTCACTCGACCACTTGATTAACGCCAATGCCAATTCAACGCAGAAATTCTCTACAAAAGTTCTCGCAGAGAGCATGCGTTCGCCTCCCCAGAGAAGGAGCAAGAGAAAGAGAAAGCGAAAGCTTTTCTCTCTGCTATCTCTCTCCCGGACTCGCCCCATCTCGCTCGCACAGGATGTGCTCCGTGTCCCCAGGCACTTTGTTTTTGTCATTGACCTGTTGTGGAAATCTATACGTGTATATGACAGTTATTAACTATTCAAGGCCGAGTGCGGAAAACTACGAGGATTAGTGATCTGTACAACCTCATAGGAAACATCCTTCAAACGAGATCGAATATCCGTTAGTATTCTGAGTTCATCTGCGCGTTGGAAAGTCCCCAACAGCTGGGGGGTTCCTTAATTAATATTGTGCAAATATGGTGCCCATTAGCAAGTTCATATCTCATATTAGTTATCATTGTCGTGGCCAAACACATGCCATACGGTTCATAAACACGATGAACAAATACAATTTACTCCACACAAGGATGAAAGGATGAAACCTCGAGGGCTTTCTAATCGATATGGGTGTGAGATACAGTGAGCAGCTTTAAAGTTCCCAGATCCTTCGAAAGAACCACTTTTAGCTGTTGCAAGGAAGGCAGGATAATGAAAACGGGTTTCAGCCCCAAGTAAATCAAAAAGCACAATCCGTGTATTCCATATCAACCAATTAATATAAGGATACAACAGATGCTTGTATATCTATAGATACATTTGATAACCGCAATCTCTGTCAATCTCTCAGAAACTGATGTTCTTCTACTATCCCTTGCAGGACATCAATAGTCAATTGTAATTTAAAGAGTAGGGACTTAAGCGACCGCAATGGGCAACGTGTGCAGTTCCGGCCAGAAGAAAAAGAAGGACAAGGATAGTGCCTCCGAAAAGTCAGACGAGTAGGTTCTCCCGCCCGTGTATCAATTGCCTGGATTGTAATATTGTTGTGGTTGCAGCTCACCTCCTTACCAGGAGGCGGAACAGAAGAACACCCTGATCTCCGCCGATTCGAGTGCTGGTGATGGAATGCGGGCTCCCTTGGCCGCCGTGGAGGCACTTCCGGAGGCGACACCGCTGCCGGAGGCCAACGGAAACCAGCAGGTCCAGATGCAGCCACCAACGGGCCCGGGAAAGCCAGGGGGAGCAGAGAAGGGTGAGTGACATGTTTTGAAAATAGTTAAGACCTGCTTATTTTGAAGGCCAATGTGAAATATTGTTGAGTTTTGTACTGTGTTCTACCAAAGACACTACAATAATTCTACCATACTATTAAATATAAATTGATCAAGCTTGTCTTGGGTTTTCTAAGCTCCGCTCAATATGATTGTAAAGTCTAGAAGATGAGTTAGAATCTAGACACATAGATATATTAATGAAACTCAATTACAAACTAAGCGAACTTCCTCTCCCTACAGATTCAAATAGCACCACACCACAGGGGGCGCAGGCGCCCAGTGACGTGGCCAATGCCAATCCCGGAGCCGGAAACCTGAGCGTGCTGCAGGGCAAGCCGCCGCCCGGCCGCAAGATTGAGCGGGACAAGAAGATCGTGGTCTACATCCTGGCGGACAACAGCACCGAGTACAAGAAGCACAAGCGGGTCGTCCACAGCCTGTACAAGCATTTCAAGAGCAAGTGCCAAAGCCGTGGCTTTGACTTCATCATCGCCGATGTTCACGACAGCGAGCCGGAGACGGAGCCGGGAAATGGCAATGCCAGGAAGGATTTCTCCCGCCTGCAGGAGGCGAAGCGCTGGACCCAAACGCCGCTGGAGGCGCAGGGCGGTCACGAGGAAGCGGCCAACTGTCTGTGCGAGATCACGCGCCACTCGGCCGGAGCGTATGTGATCCCCGTTCTGTTCTTGGGCGCCACCCTGGGCACACCGATGCTGCCGCTGACCATCGAGAGCCAGGACTTCACCTCGGTGCTGGGCACCGCTAGTGAGGAAGAGCGTCTGCTCCTGGAGAAATGGTACACCATTGACAACTCGTACCAGCCCATGTGCCATCGACTCCATGCCCAACAGGTGGATCCCTACTCAAGCCAGGTGAACGGGGAACTGAACGAGCTACTGGCGGTCCTCTTGCGTCTCTTCTCCGACGACGTCAAGGACTCGTATCTGACCACTGTGGTGGAGCAGGAGATCAATAACACGGTTCTGATGAGCCAGGAGCTGGCCAAGCGCTGTATCTGGATCCAGACGGGCAGTCAGGTGGCACGGCCGTCGGAGAATGCCAGCCCTTTGGAGCTGGAGGTGCAACGGAGGCTCAGCCATGTGTACTCCGGTCTCAAGAGCCAGTTGAGCGAGAAAAACCTCATACGTATGTTGCCCACGATGAGCATCCTGGACGAGGAATTGTCGGCGGTGATCGAGAGTCTGCTGGACAAGACGCTGGCCGGGATCTTCGAGGAGCACCAGCAGAAGAACAGCATCCCCTACAATACGCTGGGCGTGGACCGCGTGCTGCTCGAGGAGCTTCGCCTGGTGGGCCACTACTCCAAGCTTTTGGCACAGAACTCAGCCAACTTCGACATCATGAACGACGTGAAGCGCTACATCCGCGACAGCACCGCCCAACCGCTGGTCGTATCCGGGGCACGGGGTAGTGGCAAGAGTGTATTGGTCTCCAAGATCATGGAGAATGTCCACCGCTGGAAGCCGGAGGCACAGCTCATACTGAGGTACGATATAAAATCATATCAACTTTTAAACGTGAGTATTGATTAACCATTTGTTACCTCTTCAGATACGCCAATCTCAGTGCCCGCTCATCGGATCTCACTTCATTGCTGGGCTCAATGGCCAACCAGATGTCGGTCCTGGAGACGGGACATCAATGCCAAGTGCCACACGTATAGAAATTTTATTTCAACATAGAGCGATGATATTAATGTAGTTTTTCCAAACAGACACTAGAGGGTTATTCTCGAGTGATTCGAGAGATCCTTGACCGGCAACAGCGCTTCTTCGTGCTGATCATCGACGGCGTGGACGAGCTGCAGCGGGATGAGCTGCTCGATTGGCTTCCGCAGCAGCTGGGCAGCGCCAAACTGATCCTCACCATCAGCGAGCTGGCGGACGAGGGGGAGGATGTGGACGGGACGGAGGCTGGGGACTCCTTTGATATGCTAGCCGCGCTGGCGCAGTTGGGCATACCACAGCGGTGCTTCCTGCGACTGCGACAATTTACGGAACGCCAGTGGCACGACATCCTCAGCTCGGGCGGCGGAGACTTCTATGCGGCCAATGGGGCACTGAAGTTGCCCGACGAATGGAAGACGCTGCACGGGAAGACGCCCTACCACGCCAAGTCCTTGTGGTGGTTGGCCTGGCTGGGGCATGTGGCTCAGCCGATTAGCGAGATCGGCGACATCTCCAGCCGGATACTTCAGGTCCTGGAGTCCAAGTTCGCCACCGATCAGGTGGAACTATTGCTCCTGATCGTCCGCCTGTCCCCGTGGGGCATCCGGGAGAGCGATTGCCTGGGCGTTTTCCAGAAAATGACCCAGCTGGAGGCGCAGGTCGCCTTCAAGGTCTGGTCCAAGTTCTGCTGGCTGATGGGACCAATGCTGTTAGGTCTTAAGAATATTAGGATAGCGGACAAGAGCTTTGGACGAGCGGTCCTGGCGAGGTACGCGCAGAAGCAGTGGCTGGTACATGAAGCGCTGCGGGACTACTTCGACCGGCAGGACAGCGAGTTCAAGGGTAGCCAGGGTGCCAACACGTGAGTGTTCCTCCTCTCCTGCCATTGCAGTGCTTTCACAATCCCAATTTATACAAACCATTTCTCAACAGCTACAATTACCAAAAGTACTTAAAACTGCCTTATCATCATTTCTGTGCCGTGATCGAGGACAATCCGGCGCCTCACAAGATCGACATACTCTTCAACTGCTTTTACTTTACGGACCTGCAGTGGATCGCCAATAAGGTGCACGCCACGGGACCGGAGCACCTGCTGAACGACATCCTGCAGGCGGAGTGGCTGGCCAAATCCGGCGGCGAGAACTGCCCCACCGCATACGTGCACATCTGTTTCCTGAAGCAATTCCTGGAGCAGTATCTCCACGAACTGAGCTACGATGGCCAGCAGTTCTACACGCTGATGAAGTATTATCTGAAGACGCGGTTCCGGGAAGCACCAGAGCTCAAGGACGACGAGAAGATACGCTCCTGGTGGGAGTACACTAATGAGCTCGAGTTTGCCTTCCTCGAGATTCTTAACGCGGACTTGGATGCGGAGAACGGTAATCAGGCGGAGCAGGAGAAGCCTTCGGAGGACGCAGTCCCATCCGCGGTCCCCGTCAAGGGCTACGATGTCCTATTGAATCTGCCCCAGCCCGGATGCTATGTGGCCTCCATGTGCACAGACCGAGCTGAGATCTGCATATGGGACGTGAAGAATTGCTGTCGAATCCGGGAGCTGCAGGGCATCCAGCAGCCGACGGCGATGTGTCCTGTGGGTAACTATGAGGCAGCAGTCCTGTGTCGCCGCGAGATCCGCGTCATCAACCTGGACGAGGGAAAGTTCAAGGTGATTGGCCTTTATATCTTATCTTGTACCTTATGTAAATGTAGTATTCCTTCTGAATCCAGGTAACTCTCAAAGGCGTAATGAACCAAAAAATGCCGTATTTCGGTCTGCACGATCAGAATCACTTGGTTTGCTTATCGCGCAACCGGATGTATGTGAATCTGATGAATCTGGAGTCGGGCGATTGTGTGACCACCTTCAAGGCGGGTGAGGACCGCTTCCTCAATTCCCTGTTGGTCTCTGGAGATGGAAGGTAACAGGTTGGCATGTTTCGTATTCAAGTAGTTGCTAATTTCCGATTTGATTTCTAGGATCTTGGTGTGCGGTGATGAGACCCAGAAGCCTTTCCCACTGCTCGTTTGGCACCTATCGCAGAGAAAGTTGCTCTATGACCTCCGAATCCCGCACCACGACTTCATCACCTCCCTCTCCGCGATCACCCACGAGGGCTCCTATGTGTGCGTGGTGGCCAAAGAGCTGAACGAGCCGACGACGCCCAACTTCATTGTGGTATACGACTTACAGAGCGGCACTCTGTTCAAGAAGTGGAAACCATCCTGCAACACAGTTTCCCTGGCAATCTCCCAGGTGAACGCTTGCGTCATCGCCGGCCTAGAAGATGCCAAAATCCTAATCTGGGATCTGGTCACGGGCAACTGCAAGAGCACCTTGATTGGTCACAATGCTCCGGTAACGTTCTTGAAGCTGGATCCATTGGGAAAGGTACTACTCTCCTACGACAAGGAGGGACGTGACTCGGCTGTCCGCATGTGGGAGTTGAATTCGGGTATGTGCCAAAGACTTCACCTTCCTAAACTGTATAGTCAAGCTCCTGTTCTTGCAGCCAAATCACTGGCCGTGTTTAAGCCACCGGCGCAAGTGAGCACTTGTGAGATTCTGCCAAACGGATCCTTCGTGGTGCTGGCTCTCAAGGATCGCAACTCCTTGCTGACCCTGGCTTTGAAGAACTACGGCGGAGGATCGGGCGCCCTCGACGATGACTGTGGCACTCTATACGGCAATCCAGACAACCAGCACAAAGTTTTCGACTTGAGTAATTAAATCAATTAACGCTAGTTATCATTATTCAAATTATAAATGAAGCATAACAGGGTACGAGCCCAAGGAAGGCAGAACTCTGAATTATTATAAATATGGCAAACAAATTTCTCATGCATAATTCATTAGATGTATGTAAAATTCTTTGAGCAAATCTTACCAAATGTACAAAGCAAAGGAAATCCAAAAAACATTAAAAATTCAAAAATCTACTCAGCTAATGGTGGTTTTCTTTATGTGGTCGCAAATAGATACAAAAGGTTCTTGGCAAACTGAACAATCTCGGTCCCGCCAAGCTTGGAGGTGCCATAAATGCGGTCCACAAAAGTGATGGGCACCTCGGCGATAGAGTAGCCGTGCTGTCTAGCCCGAACTAGCATCTCCATTTGGAACACGTAGCCCTTGGACACGCAGCTGGCAATGCATTTCTCCAGGACATCCTTCTTGTAGAGCCTGAAGGAGCCGGTCAAATCACTGGCATTCGGGCGTAGGAGCACCTGAGACAAAAAATTCGCGCCGCGTGAGATGAGCTTGCGCTTGAAATCCCAGCCAAAGACGCCTCCATTTCCGGCATACCGAGTGCCGGATACAATGTCATAGTTTCCCTCCTGTTGCAGCTTGATGAACTCTGGGATGAATTTGGGCTGAAGCGAGAAAAATAGTAGATATGTTTTCCCATCTATCAATTCAACCTCCTTATCTAGACTCACATGATGACTCAAATCCGCATCGATAATTACTATAAAGTCGCCGGTAGCATGCTTGATGCCATGTATGTAGGCCGTCCCGAGTCCCAATTTGGAACCACGTGGCTTTAGCACAATCCTGTCCTCCCCATAGATCTTTTGCAAGTCCTTGGCCACGTCCAGTGTTCCATCCGGGCTACCATCATCAATCACAATCACCTCGTATTCCAAGCCGCTGCATAGGGGGAGCTTTAAATGCCTTAATTTACACCTCAGAACAGCCAGTACTCACCTTGCCTTCATGTATTTCACAATTAGCCATATTATAATGGGCAAATTATCCTTTTCATTGTAGGTGGGCAGCAAAATGCTGTATTTATGGCCATTTGTTGGCATGATAATCGTTCTCAAGACCCGTGTAAATAATGCCAATTAGAACTAGAGAAGTGTTGATCAGTTCAGAAACACAAAACAGCTGTACTCAAATCGATAGCGAAGTCGATTGAAATTAGATAGCTGTCGAAAAGTATCGAATTAAAAATGTAACTTTTAATGTGCTAAATAAATAATAAGTAAATGATATTAATATTTCTAATATGAGAAAAAATATGCTTCGCAATAAATCATTGAATAATCGTTATTTAAATGTATTGTTAGTGATAGTATGTTTTTGGTATATTTGCCAAGCTAAAACGGTATTATAGTATACTTTTCAGAGCACACCGGTATAAAGCATAAACAATTACGCGGTCACACAGTTCGCGAACGGCCGCTTTAAGAATAAGTGCTCTCTTTATGTGCGGAGTAGCTAATAAAAGTGGGAAAGTAGTGCGCTTTTGACGGCGCGACGTGAACATGGCCAAGAAAATACCTTTTAATGTGGTATTCGCCTCAGGTAAACAAAAATACGAGGATGTTCAGACTGCAAACCGCAAAACACTCTATAACTTATAGTTTTCTTATTTGTTTCCTTTTTTATGCGTTGCTTACGTTCCTAACTGCATTTTTGGTTGCGACAGGATTTGGATGAGGGCTAAAGGTTTTCTACCTCCCTTTCTTCCTTTGAAACCCGCTGCACTTGAGAAATCGATAAATCACGCATACGCCTGGTGCGCCAGGACGTTGGGATTTGAAATAGACTGGCGCTGCTATTTTAATTGCAGTTAATTTGCTGGCAATAGTCACATTTAAATATTGCCAGGATGCTAAATCAATTTGCCAAAGTTTCGGCCAATTTACCACGGCCTAAAACCACTGCAACCACGATGACTGTAATATTTCATTATTATATTGTCAGACTGCCGGGTTGTCGACTCTTTTTGCGTCTGCATGTGCAATTTAAGTTGCGGCCAGAGATTTCAATTTGGCCAAACGCCAAGCTCTTTATTTTCATACTAGAACCAGACAAAATTTCGGTTAGCCTTGATTCACCGCTTTCCTTTTGGACCGATACTTAAGTTTAGTTAGGAGCGATGATACCGGCGCAATGATGGTGAGTCCATAAACCAGGACGGTGATCAGCATCATGCCGGGAATAAAATCTGTGTCCACATACTTGGAGAAGAATTTCGAGTAGTAGCCAAGGGTAATGGCGCCCATGCCCAGGCTGAAGGTGACCAAGCCAAATAGATTATGGCGGAAGCGAAGCTCCGATGAAGGCATCACATTCAGGGCGAACTTGGGCTGGAAATAGTTGACAAAACCGCCCACAATGCTGGCCGCGCAGAAAAAAGAAGCAGCTCCTCCTGCAAAATGTCAGCTTTAATTGATTTTCTGAATTAACCTAATTATTTACTCACCCACTCGGCCGTGCCAGGTGTTGAAGTGCACCTCCTTGCTGGAAAATTTGCCCAGGGATCCCAACAGAACCATAGAGCCACCCACAATCTGCAGGATGGCGTGAAAGCGCGACTTGTTTCGGTGCGACAGCCAACGGGTGAGCGGATTCACTTTCGAGTGTGACATCATGGCCTGGGCGATAAGGACGTGGAACTGGCGAAAGCAAGGAAAGCCTTTTAATTCAGATCAAGTTCGATAAGATAACAAGTGACGTTGCATGCCCGTGTTATCCAGGTCAATCTAACACTATTGATTATGTGGCCAAGTGCTTATCGCAGCGTACTCACCCCAATGCCCGTCATAAACATATGCATGGCGGTGTCCTTGAACTCCAGACTGCGCGCCAGGAAGAAAAAGAAGACGGCCACCAGAAAGATGAGCATGTGGTTGATACTGTTCAGCAGGCTGTGGATTTGCAGCCAGGCAGTGGCTTTCGTGTAACCCTCCGGCATTTCAATTGCTATAATAATACTACCAGATTCAGTAACAGAGCACAAGCGGCTGAGCGACGACTAAACTAGCATGTTGCTTCACATCGCTTAAATAGAAAATAGAAGAGAGTGGAGCCCAGAGATAGAGATAGAGAACAACAAGGGAGATAGGGTTTGACTTCTACAGCTGGGTTCGAATTAATAGGGCAAGTTGGTGAAACTTAACGTATAAATGTTTTCGTTTATGCTTTTCATTTCATACGTTTTATGACCTACAGAAGTTATAAGCTGTTTTGGAATATTTAAAAGATTTTTCAGGTTCGTTTTGACCGCTGCTGTTGTTTAGCGTAGCAAGCGAAAGAGAACGAAAAATAACGATTATTATGTCGAAAAATTTAACTGAATACGCGAAAAAGAGATTGATTAAGAGAATAACAGTCACCTGGCCACCTATTCTTAGTTTATAACCTGATCAAAGTAACGATGATTCGGTCATATCGCTTGTCTTTCAGATGAGGATGTTAACTTTCCGGCCAGCGAGCTTAACAATCACGGGCCCACAGTTCACGGATGGCGAAGTGCTTCGAACGGCAGCCTCACCTCACATGACATTATCCTCCGATTTCAGCAGCCGGCCAAAATCTATCGCATCCAGCTCCTGGCTCACCAGTATCTTATCCGTAAGTTAATGTGCTAAATTAAGTGGAATTCGCTACAAGCATAATAAACGTACAGAAATAAACGACGTATGTATGTCTGATCGCTAATATGATCTATGATTTTAAATGAAACAAGAAATAATAAGCAACCTATTTACTGACAGCTTAAAGTCTCCCTATAATGTTTTCTCTTCATCCAGCTGAGAAAGTAGAACTGTGGCTGCACTACTCGCCCAAATCCCTGCCCAGCACTCCATCGTCGCAGTACTTCGACTTTCTGGGTTTTGTAGCCTTAGCGGATAATGCGAACACCAACTACAAGTCCCGGGAGCTGCAAAGCGTCACCGTGTGTCCACGTAGAGGCACTCATCTCAAGCTGCGTCTGATTGGCGTCCAAGGAAACGACTACAATGACACAGGCCAGATATCCCTACTAGCGGTTAATGTCCTTGGCGAGGATCTGGAAGTAGGGCCGAATAATGGCAACGGAGACGAGCACTTGGCCAACGAGGCCCCGCCGTTGGACACGGCCACCGGAGAACTGGCCCTGGCCTCCATCTGTGATGACCTGCTCTTCTCCATGTACGTGGAGGAGTCAATAGTGAAGAGCATACGAGAGTTGGAGCAGCGAAAAGTTTTGGCCGTAAACTCAGAAAGGTTCGAGTACGCCCGCAAACTGAAGCTATGCATGACAGCTTTAAGGACTGCCGGCGAACGTTTGGGACGCTATGCTCTGGCCAAGAGGCAGGCTGTTCAGCAGGAGGACTTTACCACGGCCAGGCTTCGCAAGGAGCAGATCGAGATGTACCGGGCGGCAGTACTTCGGCAATTGCAAGTGCATCAGCTTCTGGAACCGCAGGGCGTGGCCTTAAGCTCCAATGACCAAAGCTGTGAGATCTATGCGGGTGGGAAGCCCAGTCTGCCGTCAGCTCCCAGCCTGCAGGATGTGGCACAGGCACTAGCGGAGGCCACCTTCAGTCCCAAGAGCATAACGAGTCTTAGCTTAGAGGACAAGTCCTCGACGGATGGCTCCCAGCCCGGTAACGATAATACGGTGACAGCTCCTGCGCCTGCTCCTGCACCCGCTCCTGCGCCCACCTCCTTGCAGGCCACGCCCACTCCCACGCTAGGGGGCTGGCGCAAGTCCCACGACGAGCTGCCGCAGTCGCCACGTCTGCCCTCGAGGCACAGCTCACCCATGTCCAGCCGCCAGGGATCGCTGCGCAGGCGCAACAAGAGCGTGCCACGCAACTCCTATGAAGATTACGAGGAGCGGGCCATTCCCACGCTGCGACAGTGAGTACCGAGCGTAGTTTGAAGCGTAATCGTTGTGTGGGTGTCTAATAAATACGTAAACAATTGTGGAATAGTAATTACTTCGTTTGTTTACTCGAAACAGCTGTCCATTACAGAGTTGCATGATGACTCAGTACTCGTATTCGTAGTTTGAATGTTTGTCAACACTAGCGACCGTTAGAAAGAACACTGCCCGTCAACTCTTGAAATTTAAAATTGAACTCGCGCTTAGATTTTAAAGATCGAAAATGATACTTAAATGGCTTCTGGATATTACAAAAAAAAAGTGTTTATAAGTTTTAATGCATATTTAAAATCCTACAAAAAAGAAAAATAGGTTAAACCAATTTTATTTAATTTTATATAATGTATGTACTCAATTTCTAATCTAGCTAGGCACACAAATTTAAATTGGGAATTGTTTAAACACATTTGAAATCAATACTTTGGTAGACTTACTTTTAATTGTACCTACCTTTCTACTCCTATATGTATATTGTAACCGCATCCGTAAACGTTGCCATTCCGATACAACAAAACACAAACCGCTCACAGTTCAAATACTAATGAATTTTTAAGGGAGTGCCAAGGCAACGCGCTACTGGAAGCAGATCCGAACCGGGGACGCTCGCGACTGAACGACCGCGAGCGTCGCCAGGCAGCGCTACCCATCCTGGTCTTTGGCAATGAATTGGTGAGTCCACCATTGGACCCAATAGTATACATATTCAATACGCGCCATTAAATCGCAGGTGGAGCAGTTCTATTCGCGTCAGTTTCAGGACCGCGAGGATGGCTTGATGCGTCTGCGTAACTTCCTTAAGGAGCACGACCTGGTGGAGCCGTCGAGCAACGAGCACGCTGCCAGTCCCAACAAAGTGGCCCGCAGCGCAGCTCTGCTGCTGCATCGCGCTGTAAGGGACGCCGTTTACTCCGTGTTTAGCCAGGCCACTGAGACGGTGCGCATGCTGTTCCTAGAGTACGTGCCCGGTCGAGTTTCCTCCAACGAGGTGGCCCGCTGCGTGGATCGCCTGCTGCCCGAATTGCTGGCCAAGTCCGGCGATCCATCTGCTCGCCTCCACACTCTGGCCCAGCACACGATCCTCAGCATTGCCGCCTGTCCGGAAGTTGCGGAGCAGCACCTGGTTGCGCCGGCACTATCACGAAGCGTTGGATCCGGAACTCACCAGCGACTGGCAATGAGTCGGCTGCAGATGCTGGAACAGCTAGTGCACACTCAGGGCATCAGCACGGACAAGCATAGTGGACTCACCTGCAGGGCACTGTCCGAGTGTGGCTGCTCCGGCATCCATCATCCCGCGGAGCCAGTGCGAAAGGTGGCCGAGCGCATCCTGCTGCTCGTCTACAAGGTAAATCCCCGACTAGTGCGCAAACAATTGCCTCCGGATGACGACATCACGCGTCGAAACCTCTTGTACCGCCAACTCTTTACCGAATTCGACAAGTTGGATCTGGATCGCAAGCAGGAGCTACTGGAGGCAAGCAAGTATGGGGGAGGTCACAGCTCGGGTGATGCGGCCACACCGCCGGCGGATAAGGCGTCCACCAGCTCAGATGCCTCTCGACTGATGAATAGTCGAAGTGGTCATTGCCTGGGTCCAATGGCCAGCTCCAGTAACGGATATGCCAGCTGCAATGGAAAGCAGCAGTACAACGAGCAGCTCAAGCGGTCCATGCTCTCCGTCACCAACTCGCGAAAGGGATCCGCTTCCAACTCGGAGTCCACTGAAGACAACACACCCAAAATGTGTGTAGCCAAAATCAATTCATAAGGGATCTGCAATAATATTGATATTGTTTTAGACGTTGCCCCTTTTGTGACTGGTCATGTGCTGGCAATGACGCTACTCAGCTGGACCGACACTACTGGAAGGCCTGTCCTTTCCTCACCAAGTGCCCACAATGCAGTCAAGTGCTGGAGATAGCTGCTTTGAACTACCACCTGACGAGTAAGTCTGCAATATAATACTTTATGATAATTAACATTTTGAATATTCCTCAGAGGAATGCGATGCCAAGGAAAGCTACGTGGTATGTGTCCGCTGCACTGAATCGGTGCACAAGCAGCTATATGAACTGCATCAGATGGAGGACTATTGTCGGGGTAGGATTTTGATATTGAGTTAAATTCTCGAGACACTACATCACTATTTCCCCTCTCCAGAACTGAAAACGGGTGCTGCTCGATGTCCCCTCTGTCATGACGATGTTCACCTACCCCAAGACGGCGGCTGGAAATTGCATCTCCTCAGCGCCGGCGGCTGTCCCGGGAATATACGCAAGAGGAATCTCAAGAAGTCAAATTAACAACCGTACACTTAACCTATCTGTAGGCCTAGCGATTTAGCGAATTTATTAAAGCAACTATTCTAGTCAGGATACCTACTCAAGGAAGCTATCTCATTTCAGTCGCAGTAGCCGCAGTCATTTAGTTAACTTAACCAATTCGTTTCTCACTCAGAGCATTTAAGTTAGGCACATTTTGTTAAGCCAAGTAGTTAGATCTATTTCGTGCATTCTTTTGTATTTTTTGTACGCAATGTGATTTGTTGAATGTAACATGAATTTTTGAATCGTCCTTACAATAAATAAAGCCCATCCATACCGTTTTAAACATGAAACTGAGTTGTTTGTTTGCATTACTGTCGTCCATAACTGGGATACTTTGCTTTCAGTAAATTTCCAATTTATATGCCTAGAGCGCATTCCTTAATAAATTTTTAATTGCTTGGCATATAAGGCACATGCAGCACAATTGCATGATTGACCAACGATGATGGCTATGTGTGGGCAAATGCAGTCATTCAAATAGAAAAACTGCAGTCCATAGCATCCAAAGTTAATCTTCAATTTATTTTCAATTTATATAACTTTGATATAATATTCACCATTCTGAATACAAAAAAAAGAGTACACAGCTGTTAATCAAGTGATAAAGTACATAATATTTTTATAATCATTTTTAAATACGTAACAGAAAAATTTAAAATTGATTTTCTTTTCGTAGCTCAAAGATCGGACTCTCCAATATTTTGAGTTGCTGGACCACTATATTTGCGCGCTGCGCTGTTTCAGTGTTGGAAAATCTCCCCAGGGGAGTGCGTCAGTGTTGGTGACTGTGCGTGTGCGTGTGCGAGCGTGAATAAAAAAACAGCCGGCGGCAGCGGCGGCAACAGAAGCGGCAGAAATCAGTTTTCGCAATAAAAATAAACGCGAGCTATAGCTGGCAGAAAGTCGTGCCCAGAATTTTTACGTCCACTTCGATTAACGTTAGACTTCTGTCATCATGTTCTGACCATCCGGCTAAGAACGTCCAACGCTCCCAGGAGTTGCTTTTATCAAAGAACCCCCGCCTCCTCGGTGCTCTCCTTCTTGAAGACCGTCGCGTGTTCTTACGCTTAGATTAAAAAAAGCTGAAGCACTCGTAGTTCCCTAAGGAACCATCGAAAATGAGGCAACTAGTCAGACGATTGATGGACCACCAGTATCTGACGCAGGAGCAGATCAATGGGTTCGACAACTACAAGGTGGGCTAGAGGATTCGCTAAGGAAGCATCGTGGGCGGCTGTACCTCCTTCAATAGGGGGATATCTTTCCGATTCCCCGAAACCAAAACCAGTTCTCTGTACACCGTACTTGTTTTCAATTAAAATTCTTTTTATAGAAAGCCACCAGACCAAACAAAGCAAAATGCGAAAAAAAAGAAAGCTATTGAAATAGTCGTTAAACTGATGATGGTGATGAGTTTCCCCTCTTTAATCTGGAATTTTTACTTACAGTACAGTGCCATCGATACCTCACCGCTGAGTCAGTATGTGATGCATCCCTTTTGGGATTGGCTAGTTAAGGTGAGTGCTCCGCGGAATTATATCATGCAAAAATCAATACTCATAAGGGTGCTACCCACCATAACAACCATCTCAATGCCACCCACTGCAGTTCTTTCCGCGCTGGTTTGCGCCCAACCTGATGACCTTTCTGGGCTTCCTGTTCAGCGCCATGAACCTAGTGCTGCTCTCATACTACGACTGGAACTTTGAAGCCAGTTCCGGCGAGGAGGGCACCACCCCCATTCCACCATGGGTCTGGCTCTGCACAGCCATCAACATCTTTTTAGCATACACGCTGGACGGGATTGATGGCAAACAGGCCCGCCGCATTGGATTATCTGGTCCGCTGGGGGAGCTCTTCGATCACGGATTGGATTCATATACCGCCATGTTGATCCCGACTTGCCTATACAGCATTTTTGGACGCAGCCGCGTATATTCGGTGCGACCCATGAGGATGTACTACGTGTGCCTAACAGTCTACTTCAACTTCTTCGTTTCGCACTGGGAGAAGTACAACACGGGCATCCTCTATCTGCCCTGGGGCTATGACCTCAGCATGTGGGGCAGCACCGCCATGTACCTGGTCACCTGGTGGATGGGTTTCGAACGCTGGAAATTTGAACTGCCGCTGGGATCCTACGGAACCCTGCCATTGGGCAATGTCATGGAGGCAGTGCTGCATGTCAGTGCAATGGCTAATCTTCCACTAGTCATTATTAACGTCTACAAGTATGATATACCAATCAATTTTGCAAACCCCCATTTTAACCTTGCTTCTATCTTTAGCTCCTATGCGCATCGCACAGGTCGCCTACTGTCCTTTTGGGAGGCCGTTCGACCCATGTGGCCCTTCATCACCTACTTCGTCATACTGCTCGCCTGGCCATATGTATCGCCGAACGACATCATGGAAAAGGATCCACGAGCTATTTTCATGCTTAGCGGCACAATCTTTTCCAACGTCAGCGTAAGTCCTTCACATTTTCGTAGCGATGGCGTATAAGTTGATTCAGTTTACTCTTCGATTTTACCCCTGGGTAAATGTGCAATTATCTTTTCATAACATCATTATTTAGTTGTCTAAGTTAATATTAGTTTATCACTGCCCAGAACCTATATAATATTAGGATAAGAGGCATGCGTCGCTTATTGTTCTCGTTTAAAATGTAATCGGGAACAGAAGCACGACAAATGCGCTTATCAACCCGTGTCGCATGTGGCCTAAATCATACATAATCTAGATAAGGTAGGTGTGTCTACATCTTTCGCTGG